ATTGTCTCGTAACATAGTGTCGTTATCGTAGTGATCATTCAGGTGCGGGTCCGAATGGGTCTCGGATCGATCGATGGCTGGCGCCCGGGGCACGCCACGATGCGCGAGTTGCCGTCAGGTGTGATCGTGAACGGTACCCCGGTCATGGCCTGGATGACGTGCAGCGCGGCCTCAATGTGCTGGCTCGACGTCGTGCTCGGCACCCGCAGCGCCGACGCGCCAGTCGCGAGGGCCATGTACACGAGCAGGTTGTCGGCGATGTGCTCGTCGACGCACGCGTCCGAGTCCCACCCGCGACGCAGTTCCGCGATGACGTCGTCGATGGCACTCGCCACGGATGTCGCCGCAATGCAGCTGCCCGTAAAGACGTTGCCATGCGTCGTCTCGATCGTCACATGCAGTGCGATCTTCGGCCCGCCCTTGGCCTTGAACGCCTGCACCGTCCCGCGGCTCTCAAGTGCCGGTATCGACCCCAACGCCGCCGTCAGTGCGTCGTTCAATTGGTGGTTACAGGCCGCCACGATTGCCGTCGATGCACCGGCTGCGTACACCACAACGTGACTCTGCACGCGGGTGATTGCTCGCGACTTGGTCGTGAGCTGCAACGGCTGGATCGTCGAGACAGGCGCGATCGAGACTATGACGTGGCCGCGCCCGAGCGGCATGAAGCCACACGCCTTCAGTGCAACCTCGTACGAAATGCCCATCGTAGCGAGGGGCCGGTCCAGGCCGGACGACCAAAAGTCCATCGGCGGGCTAAACGGAACGTGCGTGCCGCCTATGAGCGTCAACGTTGTCGGCGTCGATGCGCGCGACAGCAGCAGCAGTGGCAAGACGCCTTGCAGCACGAGCGAGACGCTGCCCGCGCCTTGCAGGTCCTTTGTAAACGACGTTGCCTGGACCGGCGAAGCGCGCGGGCGCAGCGACACAGACGTCGAGAGCAGCGCGAGGCCCTCGAACGACGCATTTGAGATGGCGCGCAGGAGCTCGAGGCCGGCGAGATGCTGCCGCGCGAGCCCGGGCTTGGGGCGGTTGTGCCGTATCGAGTGCACTGTCAACGGAACATTGCATAGCACTGCGAGCGGCGCGGCCAGCCGAAGGATTTGCCCACCGCCTTCAAAGAGCGAGCCGTCAATCGCCACGGAGGCCGCGTCGGGTGCGGCGACGGGTGCAGCAGGCGCGAGCTGGAAGAAGCGCTCGGCGTTGGCGGTCGTAGTCGCCGCCACAACCTCCGGCGTTACGCCAACGGCCTCCGCAATCGTCTCGAGAACGGCGTGGATGTCGCTTGGCTCGCAGCGCACGCGCTTCTGCGACGGATGCATGAACGGCGCGTCGGTTTCGACCAGGAGCTGCTTGCTCGGGATAGAGCGCAGGAGCGGTCGCAGGTGCGCGCCTCGGCCGGCCATCGCGATGAAGCCCGTGAGGCCAATGTAAAAGCCAAAGCCAACGTACGTCTTGAGCGCGGCCTCCGAGCCCGTAAAGCAGTGGACGACGACGCGGTCGGGTCGGAGCCGCCCCGTCTCGAGAAAGGGCAGCAAGACGCGTACAAAGTCGTCGTGGGCGTCGCGCTCGTGGCAGAACAGCGGGAGACTTAGCTCGCACGCAAGCTCGACCTGCGATCGAAACACGTCGATCTGCACGTCACGCGGCGAAAAGTCGCGGTTAAAGTCGAGGCCGCACTCGCCCACGGCGACGGCAACATCGCGGTTGGCTTCAATCGTCGATCGGAGCGACGCGACGAGGTCCGGCGACGTGGACGATGCGTTGTGCGGGTGCACGCCCACAGTGCAGACAAGGCGGGCACCAACGCGCTCCGTCTGGAGGCGCCGAATGAGCGCAATCGTGGCGCGGCTCGCCTTGAGGTCTGTGCCTGTGGCCACGAGCGTCGTGACGTGGGCCTTGACGGCGCGGTCCAGGACCGCCTTGAGGTCTTTGCGGAATTGCCTACGCGTGCATGGGATGCCATGGCCATGGCGCAGACGCCTACCCGTGGGCGAGGTTGAGGCCAATGTCAATGATCATGCTGCTTGCTCGTGCTTGCGCGTGCGTTTGGAAATGAGATCTGGGATTGACCCAATCGAGCGACCATCATTCACGGCTGGTAGGCGGATTGGCTGAAATGAGGCGATAAAACGCCATGTGATTGGCTGGAAAATAGAATACCGCGCGACGAAATGGCGCGCCAATTGCCTGGAAAGGTCCCTTGGCTGTTGTCTTGCATGAAAGCATGGAAGGATTATTTCACGCAGTTTATTCATCGTGGCTTAGCACCGCTTTGGTCGGTACAGTCAGTGCTCTCTACTATCGGAGCGTCTGTGGGCGACGCCGCAACGGCATATTTAAGTGTGGCGCTGCCTTGATCGGGCTTCAGGCTCGAGTGTTGACCACGATGGCATCATTCTCAGCGGCTGCGGTGTCACCTTCGTTGGTTGCATCGAGTGGTGAGTCGGAGGCCGGCGCCACTAGTAGAGCCAGGTTGGGATCCGTGCGATCTTGGGAAGGGAGTGTCGTTGAGCGATTGAGGCCAGCAATACGGGTGGCTGCACAGATTCGACCTCAGTGTAGAGTTCGAGAGTTGCCTAGCTTGGAGGCGGCTCTTCCTCAGTCACAACCACCATCCGTTCGAGAGGTGGTGCATGGTGCGTTGGCACAGGCTTCCGTTCCGGCCGTACTGCGGAAGAATTTGGTTACTGGCTCAGTCAAACGCCTGCTCGTAAACACCAATTTTTGAATGTAAAACCCAAAGTTTCGAGTGTAAAAACCAATTTTGAATGTAAAAGCTACCATCTCAAG